ATATATATATATATATATATATATATATATATATATATATATATCAAGGTCATTTTTACTAGTTGTTAAAATAAAAATTACTCGGAATTTTTGCGTTTTCAGCAAGTAGGACACAGTGTCGCCACCAAGTACTTGGCCACGCGCGTAGTTGTGATATACGCACAGCTTGCCAGTACGGCTGTGTTAGAAGTATACCGCTAAGCTATGTTTAATATTAATATATCTTAATTATTATATATTTAATATTAATCGGAGATAACTTACCGGAAGGCGCTGAGTTACGTACGAGGCCTTGTGTTGTGACAGTGCTACCAAAATCAATGCCAAATCTCCTGCACCATATGGAGATCCACTGTAGGTTCCTCATATCGACGCCGTTCGGGAAGGTTAGGATAACGTTCTCGTTATTGTAAGCTCTATCAATGGGGTCCGTGCTAAATGTAGTGTGAAAAAAAATTCCTTTCTGTTATGATCTACCTAAATTATCGCATGTGACAGATTATTTCGTGTCTGTGCCGCTATTTTGTCATGCCTGCAGACCCGATTCAGATTTTTTTTTATTAAACCTGTATTGAATTTTCACTATAAGAGCTTTCTTGCTTTGTAATTGTTTGTAATTGTTGTAATTGTGTTGTAATTGTTGTAATTGTGTTGTAATTGTTTGTAATAGTGCAAATATATCTCGCAGCTCAGACCAAACGACCTTAAAGGCCCAACGGCCAATGGACAGGGGCCAGGCCTTTAAAGGACAACGTTCGTCTCGGTCGCAATCTCATGGAACGGAATTTATGTAACGTTAATCAGCAATGGATCTTGTTCGGATGACGTATATTGCGGTTATCGTGTACACTGTTGGCATACCCGATGACGCTGTCCGAGAGTGTGACGCCGAATTGTCCAGGACACTTCTGTATCTGCGATTCTTTCTGATGCGGCAGCAGCTCTGACGCCGAGTCGTAGAAGCCAGCGTAGAAGTACACGTCTGTTTAGAGGATACGATATTAAGTCAGCGTCGTTGTCTACTTAGGGTGGTGGGGCGTATACGATGAATTAAATCTTTGTGGAAAAAGTTTACAAAATTTGCGAACTGAACAGCCTAGCCAATTCACGCCTCGATCTCGATACCGTAGCAGGGCCGTAGTTAACTCGTTTTGCCGTAATTCTCCCTCCTCGGGCAGTTAACCGCAGGCAGTAACTGCTGGCCGTTAGATATTGACCGTAATATGTGAATAAGTTTGTTAGGCGGGGGAGGTAACTGTCCTGCTTGCCCCCCCCCCCACACACACATGCACACATCCACACCGACCGCTAGTTACGGCCCTGCGTAGTAACCAAAGCAAGGGAGCATAACAATCAAACGGATATTTAGCTTGGAACTTTTGCTCGTAGAATAGCAGCGCAGAATAGGGAGAGTAGAATACCTGGCGCAGCTCGGTGGTCGTAGGTGAATTGTCGCAGCATGATGCGGTTGTTGTCCAGAATGCGAACCTCGCCGCTGACACCGTAGAAATAGGTCCTGAGGTTTCCGAAAAATTTCGCTCCTATATGTATATATGAGAAGGGGCGTAACCGTTACTTGGTAGGCTTACATTTCCTGGAGGCGATACTAGGTGACAGCACGCGACATACTGTCGGTACTTATCCGAGGCCAAGCGGTCATCAGGCGGAATAACGAATACCACCGCGCCCTGTTTAGGAGCCAGATGTCAGCCATTAAGGATTCGCAATAACAACCTGTCGGGCTGTTTTTATCAAACAGACTAGATTCGCCCGGCATTATAACGCATATCAAATTATTAGCTATTGCCTCAATTTTAGTGACACGTTTCGTGAAGGGCATCGACCGAGGCTCAGCCGTGAACACGCTTGAATATATGATGTTCTCGCGCTGCAATAGTATCAGGTAGGTAGGTATCCGTGAATCGCTTTATACCTGGCACGGAGGACTGCCCGGGCGCGCTTCGTGGGGCTTGGGCGGCAGCGGCGGCCGCCGCAGCGGCGTCGGCACGACACTTCGCAAAGCTGATGAGCTGCGTAGTTACGAGCGGCGTCGCACGATGCTTGCTGATTCTTCCGTTGGTGTTGTCCTGCACGTTGCCGGGCTTGTGCGGGAAGATGAAGTAGACATCATCGACTGAAACGACACCGCGCGTCTCCTAATTACCACAGCACGGAAATTATAAAGGCGACCGAGGTAGAATTATGTATATACTGTATATATATATATATATTTAGAAATTCAATTATATATATAATCGCCGGATATTGTGATATCAGAACTTTTCTCTCTCTCTCTCTCTCTCTCTCTCTTTCTCTCTCTCTCTCTCTCTCTCTCTCTCTCTCGGCCCATCGTCTCTCCTCTCTTTTTCTTTTCTCTTCTCTCTCTCTCTCTCTCTCTCTCTCTCTCTCTCTCTCTCTCTATGTATATGTATATGTATATATAAGCCTATGTATAATATATGTACATGCGCGTCTGTGAGGAGGTGAAAGCGTGAGTATGTGTGTGTGTGTGTGTGTGTGTGTGTGTGTGTGTGTGTGTGTGTGTGTGTGTGTGTGTGTGTGTGTGTGTGCGTGCGTGTGAGTGTGCGCGCGCGTGTGAGTGTATACCAGCCCATTAGTCGGCTACCACGACGTAGTGTGTTTCATAATTTGTTGTAGGTTCATTACATGTACTTGGCTCTCAGTCTTCCGTGGAATTCAACAAACTACCGTCACAACAAAATCCAACATGGACGTTGCTTACCTGTCATGTCTCCAGAGCTCACACGAGATCTACTAAACCCGATCGTTTGAATAACGCCGTCAGTGGTCGCCGTGTCCATGGTGAGGCCATTGTTCTGATCAACTACTGGCTGGCCGTATCGTGGGAAATTGCTACGGAGACGAACAATGGGCTATAGTAACGAATTCGTTATTGAGATCCCTTCCGGGGCAGAGCGCGTCTCACGTTCGTAAAACGGATAAAATTTTAAAATTTTAAAATTCAAACAGAATCTGGCTTCTTCCTAATCTACTCTCTAAACCTTTAACGTTTTGAAATTAATACCAACCCCTCAAATAATCGTGCGCCGCCGTCGCTGATCCAACCATAGGCGACATCAGTGTTAGCCTGTCAACGAAACAAACAGCAACACATTGAAGTCTTAATTTTCATTTCAATGTTTATCGTCGTTCGTTTTATAGTCCGTCGTTACTCTTAGTTGGCATTAGATCGGTCATCAAGAAGACACCAAGTCCCCGGCAGATACTGACTACATTACCTTTATGACAACTACTCTGCTAAGAGGCGTGACCTTCTAAATATAAGTACAATGCGTTGACCACGGTGCCAGTTGCCGGTACATCCTGGTACGTGTTTTTTATGCCTTCGGCGAAAAATGTCTGTGCGTGCGTGTGTGCGTGCGTGCGTGCGTGCGTGCGTGCGTGTGTGTGTGTGTGTGTGCGTGCGTGCGTGTGTGCGTGCGTGCGTGTGTGCGTGCGTGTGTGCGTGCGTGCGTGTGTGCGTGTGCTCGCGCACGCGGACACTCGTCTTGTTCTGGTAGCTGCATCTGACTGTGTCAGATCAGCTATAACAGCGATAACAAACTCGCGAACCCGAAAACTACAGGCTGTTGTATGACGCAGCAGATTTGTCAGAGCCGTCGGTAAATAAGCCGTCGGTAATAAGGCTAGCTGGCACGACGCCCGCTACGGCACGACGCTGTGGTTGTTTCCCGTAGGAATACCCGGATCCGCATACGGAGAATTTCCCAAGGTTTTCGTCGTAGGCATAAAAAAACATGTTCCAGGATGTATCGGTACCTGGTACCGTGGTCAACGCATTGTACTTATATTTCGAAGGTCATACAAAGTAGTTGTCATACAAAAACATACCATTCTATCGTCCTTCGAGAAGCCAATGGCCGTGTATGTCCCCATCTTTGAAGTCAACACGAATCTGATGACATCGGTGGACGGACTATAAATCCAGTAGGCGGAGTAGTCGCATGGTACCGTGTCAGGGGCGCATTGAGCAGGGTGTGAGAAATATCCTTCACAATCCGAAATAAAGTTGTCAAGATTTTCTGAGAAAAATAAACAGGAAATGTTAGGTTCATATCTCGACTGAAAGAAATCTGATTGCATTTTAGGAAGGATAACTACTACTAAAACGCGTCATTGCGCAGCAACCATGCAAATTGAACTACTTAACTGTTCAGGCTTTATCCGAACAGCTCGAGAACTATCCGATTAAGCGGTGAACACATAATTACGTACGTAGGGATTGTTTTTCAAAGACATGTCTTTTAAGCGACGCGCCCGTTTATCCAAGGCCCGATAAACCGGGGACCACTGTGCTTGGAACTACATATACGCCACAGCCACAGCCGACAGAGCGACCGCCTCGGCAGTGAATAATGTGGCATTCAGCAATTCGTATGGTGAGAGAATTAGTGACGAATATGACAATTGACACCGCTGCTGGGGGCGAGGTGGTTAGCGTTTGAACTGACATGAGCACAGAAAATGTGCTAATACGTTTGGTAAAAATAGAACAGACAGAGTAGCTTATTATCAACCCTGACACATGGTTCTATAAGGATAAACCTGTTTTTTTCTGACAGAAATAACATTTGTCGATCAAAGCTGCTTGTTGAACCAGTCGTCCGTTATAACAGCTGCTAGCCTGTTCCGCTTTAATGCAGGAATGAATATGTCATCAGCTAGTTAGTCCCTTAATCAGAGAGAAAAAGAGAGAGAGCGCGCAAGCGAGAAAGAGAGAGAGAGAGCGAGAGAGATAGAGAGAGCGCGAGAGAATGAGAAAGAGACACAGAGAGAGGGGGATTGCGAGAGAGAAGGCGAGAGAGAAAGCGAGAGAGAGAGAGCAAGCGAGAGAGAGAGCAAGCGAGGGAACGAGAGAGGGGGAGAGAGAGCGAGAAGGCAGGAGAAAGAGCATGAGTTCAATGAGCCGCTTATGGAGTCGATGCCCCGCGAACAACCGTCAATGTACCGGTCTGAGATACAAACCCGCTTTTGCGGTGCGGGTGTTTGAGGGGGGGGGGTTTAACACGCAGTAGCACACAGATCACAGCAGAGGAAACACACGGAAGTAAGAAATCAAGAGCGTATAAAGAAGCTTCTTTATACGCTCTTGAAGAAATGTATTTATAACCAAGTATCATTCGGTATGATTATAATGTGAGCGATGGTGACTTACGCGGATGCACGCGATCCGATTGAACCTCGCATACCTAATGCAAGAACGTTCACTAGCTTAGCGACAGAGCTAAGGAACGGCGGAAGCGAACAAGTTGTTCGGTCGATGCATAGCACCTAACATGTAGGTCTGCATTCAAACGTGTAAAGGCTTTAAAAACTAACCCATACTGTGAGTATGTTTGTGTGCACTTATTATATCACAATTACTAAATATCCCATATATATATAAACTATATCTTACGCGTAGCATCGAGCGCGCTTGATTATATACAATAACAAATAAAACATGATATAATTTATTTCTACTTACGCGCAGAGACACAGAGTCCTAGGGCGAGTACGAACAGCGCGGTGAGTCGCATGTTGTCTGACGTCCACGTGTCACGACGTGTTGAGCTAGTGTGCGTCTGCTGTGCTGACAGGTACGGTCGGACTCCCTGAGGGGTGACTGTCCGTCGATTCGGCAGAGCAGAACGTTCGTTCGTGTTGTTCCACGCATGAACGAACTCCGGTTTGCAACTTGTCCACACACGCACACACACACACACACACACACACACACACACACACACACACGCGTACTCCTATGCGCGCGTTTATAGATAAATAAATAAATAAATATATATATATATATATATATGTAACGTTTGAGCCATTCACGGCCTCAATGTGCGCCACAGGTTTGAGCATGGATCCACACGCGGACACGAGCAGTAACAGAGACCACAACACCAAGTTTGGTATTCAAACCGGGAACGCCGGTGCTTTTATTAGCATACCGACCGACAGGCCGGCAGCTATAAACGCCACACAAACTTGGGCTGAATGCCCAGAAACAGTAAACACAGTATATACAGTATCAAACAGGATTAACGTGCCTGCGTGCAGGGACGGTCAAGCCGTCAGCAAGCACCAGGCAGAGGGTGAGTCGGGGAATGAAACGTGAACGTTCATCTTACCACTCGTTGATAAGCCTTGCGTTGTGTACCATGGAGCCGCTGGCGAGAGACGCCAGTGCACACTCTTACTGCGAGGAGCAGCAGCTTATATACCCATAATGGTCACGTGGCTACCCCACGTGGACCATTCCTATAAGATCCAGGGATTCGGGTCACCTTAACATCTCGGCAACGCAGGTCACGTGACGGAGGTGAATCCTTACCCGTTATACTTGAATCACCTTAGGACGCGGGTCATGTGACGGAGGTGAATCCCTACCCGTTATACTTGAATCACCTTAGGACGCGGGTCACGTGATCTCGGTAGACCCTTTACCCTACCTTACCCCCTTTCCTTTGCCGAGTCTTGGCCGCCTCTTCATGGGAACTCTCCCAACAAGATTTCCGTGCACCAAAACGTCACGTTCTACCTACACAACCAACTGTCCCACCGCAGCAGGACGGCTTGCTGCAACGGGCGGGGACTACCCCGTTGCCAGCAACACCGTACGTAACATCAACCTGCGTGACAGAAATTTTAAACAAAACTAGACACAAATGTTTGTAACAAAACAGCATAGCATGGGACAAACTAAAATTTAACCATGCCATTCATTACATTGCCAACTAATTTAAATTTCCTATTAGCAAATGCACGTGCGTGCGTACATGCGATGCAATAATCTATCGAGTGAAGTACAGTAAAAACCCGCATATAAGAACCTAGTGATTAAGAACCTGTTAGGCTAAGATTTTTCATTTAGGCCCCCTTGACATGAGAACCTGTTTTAGCCTAAAATTTTAAACACGTTCTTATTTGATAAAATTCAGTTAACACTTACAAATTAATAAATCAACTAAAACCAGCTCTGACAAATCAGGCAATGAAAATAAACCAAATCCCTTACAATTTCACTTCAGATATAGATACTGTATGAGTTAATATAAATATAAATTAAAGGCATATAATAAGCCCATAATTGCTTATGCAATGTTGACGAATGCTAGAGTAACTGGCACCTTGTGTAGTTAACAAATGCATAACCTTACATCCAAACGCGTATTAGTTTGTCCAATGTCACTGCTGGTTACTAAGAAATGCCTAATTAAAATTCGCAGTCGAAAAATCAGTTGTTTACAGTTTCAAAGTGCTGCCGGCGAAGCGGGTGTGATACAGATTTATAGTGCACCGGACATTTTCGCACGCATGCTCGGCCGTACGCAATGCTATCATCAGTGAATTCGTAAACATGGACGCTCGTGATAAGGAACTTTTTTTCAGGGCTGTCCATGTGCGTCCGTGATTAGTACGTGTGTTCTCCATTTCCATGTTTAGTCCATGGCTGTGGTTACACGGCTGACACCTCCATTTCATCTGGCGTCCAAAACATACGGGCCGCACAAATGTTTATGTAATCACTTGACTCATGGATGACATTTACGGCACGTAAATGATACGTTGATACATATCAACAACCGATTTCAAGTCTTGTTAGTAATGTAACCAGCAGTGATATTGGACAAACTAATACGCATATGGCTATTAGGTTATGTACTTATTAACTACACAAGGTGCTAGTTACTCTAGCATTCGTAAACATTTCATAATCAATGGGCTTATTACGCCTTTAACATTATATAAATATAAATATATATAAATGCATATAATATATACATAATTATATGCCTATTTTATATAATCAATGGACCGCACCAATATTCTACCAGCAACAAGCACCTTTTTTTCTTAAGAAAATAAGAATTAACCTGTTTAAGAACCTAAATAGCCTAATTTCCCAGTAAACTCCAATTATATAAGAACCTTTTTAGGCTAACTTGGAAAAATGCAGGTTCTTATACGCGGGTTTTTAAATGTGAAGTATGCAGGGAAGTATGAAAAATCTTACGAGGATCCGGGCTTGACGTCGAGATAAGCGACGAGGTTAGAGGCACTGGGAAATGAGCCATCCGAGATTCCCGCAATGAAGTACACAGCTGCAAGGAAAATTGTATCGTGCAATAAACACTGTCTATACGCAGCTAATCCGCTATACTACTATTGACCAATGGGATGTTAAACTATTGTCACTACTTATTATGTAGTAAAATCATGAAAAATGCATCGTTTCTATAATATTTGACAATCTATAAATTAAAAAATGAAAATGAAAAGGCCTTATGCAAAGGAAATTATTTCAGCTGCGTAAGCATGCGCAATCGACCACTTGTGTACCTGGATACTTGAAGTCTACTTGCAGATTTCGCACGGAGATATGTGTGAGGTTGAGAAGGTTGACGTTACCGCTGCTGACTCCATCTCCGATCAGACGGTTTACACCTACAAAACCGCGTCGTTTAGCAAATTATCGTAGTTGTTGAAGATCGGGAGATATAGAGAATGTGTTGATGACAGTCAGAGTCGAGTGGCGAAATACTCGATGGAATTATCAGTGATGCGGCGTACTATCACTGTGAATGTAAATGATGACGGTAGGAGTAGTG